TGAAACTCTCACATTCGTTTTATAAAAATCCCTCACTGTCTTGTTTTTTCCTCTCATTCTGAGCCTCCGATCCTAGTGCCCGCGGGCTCTTTTGTTCGCAATACTTTATATAAGTCTTAATAACTATCTGTAATGTCAATAATGTCTAAAATTATCTACAACTTTTCAAATTTCCTAATATTTTAGACGACTGGCTTGACTGGGCTTGCTGTCTCAAAAAATCCAAGGGAGGTACCATATTGTTTATTTACTGTATGTTGTGTCGACTGTACACTTTGATTTAACCCATTGAGTGCCAGTGCTTGACAAATAAAATTTTCTGGCATTAGACAGAATGAATATAAATTAATAGGGTTCAATGCAACTCAATTAATGTGCTAAATACCTGAGGCCGGTTGTTCAAAGCTGGATTTGTGCTAACCCTAATTGGGTAAAATGTAACCTTCTGTTTTAGTTTACGTATTTCTGCACGTCTCCTACTGACCCAGATGAGATTTTGGAAGAAATATTTCCAAATTTATAAACAAGCTGTTGGGAAGTTTCCTTTGAATTTTAGGTTAACCTAGGGTTAATTAAGCTAATTGGTTTCCCAACAACCGGCCCCTGTTTATTACCAATTGAAATTTATGTTCATCATTTCACTCATTCATTTAGACACTGGTTTCAGTATACAATAAAACTTTGGATGTTCTTTCCACTATGCCAAGTACTGCTGTCTATAGAACATCAACTGAAAATCTAACGAAACAAAGAATGAAATTGGTTGAAATGGTACACTTTATTTCCCTATATTTTGAGCAAATTGTAGATGTTTACAATTAAGGAAGTAATAGGTGTAAAGTGTTACAATGGATGGGTATTCTACAATTTGACTTGCTTGGAACACATAGCCTATGTACAAACTCTAATTATGCTTTAATACAGTCTGTGAAAATTTGTGGCATTGCTTGTCGACCTCTAACTGCGCTACCCAGATCTGGGTACTTGATTCTGATTGGTAATATTTTAATAATCTCATTAGATTCTGATTGGCTGAGTTCAAAGATCAACAAAGTTAGTTCTGACTTTTAATAACATAAACAAATTTGTTACATTTTATTTGTTCAATTGCGTATCTTATTAATCTGCAATACATCAGAAACGTTTGCATCTATCACACTATATTTACATTTTACATTTACAAAACAGTCGCATATGGCAGCTAGGGTATACGCAACAGGTTTCGCTAATTATTGCGGCCCTTTACATAATTCTTATTACAATACGAAGAAATATTACTCAAGACAGTTTAATTAAATTAACTAAAAACAACACAACTTTGAACTGGACAGACTACGACATTTATTACAAGAAAAACATATATAGATTTAAATGTTCGTGGATCTTCAACGTCGTAATAACTGCGCAGGCCGTTTGTAAATTCATTCAAGGATTAGTGTTCCGTGTTCTGGAATTATGCTGTTCCAGTGTTCCTGGTTTTACTAATAGCCGCTACTATCTATTTGCAGGATTAGTCAAAAATCCTCATGCTTTAGTCAAAATTTCGCAATCGTCAGTCAAAATAGGTTTGACCAATCAATATGCCTGTAATGTGTAATCAGAGCAAATTTGACCAATCAAATTACATGAACCATAACGTAGATTAGTCAATTTTCATTTGAATACCGCTTATTTGACTTATCGTTTGACTAATCAATCGCTGGCTCAATGTGTAAAAGTGCTGGAGTGTGATAGAGTTTTGATTGCGTGATCGGAAATGAAGGGAAGCGTTTGCGCGCTGGGAAATAATTTAAAAACCTTGATCCAAATTATTTTATATGCCTTTTTTACGTTAGTCGCGTGACTAATCTGACAACCCCTAGATCCGCCCCTGGTTCATCCATGGGAGATACATGTAGTTTCGACCTTGGAATTTTTTCTTTGGGATAAATTTCATAACAGACTCCAGAAAGGTATTTTTCTAGTTGGACCAATCTTGGTTAATATCACCGTCCTCTGATATAATGTTTGTTAGATTAATAGATTGAAGATGTGTTCGTAGACCATCAAAATCTGCCCGACGGTAATCAAATACAGTTCTCTTTGTTCGTGGTAGAGCATTACAAGATAAGGAAATATCGAAAATTATAGCGATATGATCCGTAGATATTTCTGAGTCTGTTGGTTTTAGAATTTCGCACATTTTGATCCTGTCTGGAATATTTAAAGTTTGAAGCATAGAGAGAAGTAAAATTTACAATGAACATCAAGTGTCAAGAAAATAGTCCAACGGTCGTTGATATTTAAGTCTGGTTGTGACCAATTGGTAGCCTAGCTGGGGGTCGACAAGCAACGACACAAATTTTCAGACTGTAATACAGCATAATACAGTCTACACACAGTGTAGGAACACACTGCTTAAAACGTTGTGTACTGTAAACTTTAATATCTCACTCAGGAGGCAAATATTGAAGAACTTGAGAAGAAAATTGGTTGTGGTCAAATTGAAGAAGTTATAGAACAGGTATGCCAAACTTCAAACATACAAAAATATGCAAAAATGTCAGACAATTGCCAATTGTTTCGTCTCTGTCTTTTGCAATGACCTGCAAGTTCACTGCAGCCTTTATGTCTATCTCAGTCAAAAGGTGCCGAATTCAGTTATTCCTGATTATGGTGTAGGAATATTATTATATTAGAGTATTAATTTTGCAGCGAATGCTGTTCATCAGACCAGCTACAAGTTAACCTAAAAACTGGCCACTCTCAAACCACGAAGACGGTTCAAACACAGTTACACAAACAATCGCAGCTTATTGACCAGAGCTTACTGACTGAATATTGTCAAAGGTTATTGACTGAATATTGTCAACTAAGTTGGGATTGGTGAACCCTCTTGAAATACTTTAACAGTAAAAAGTAAAGTTGTATCGTTGCTCTGTTAGGCAAATGATGAATTATCATTGGCGCAGAAAATGTCAGAATGGCAACCTTGGGGACCTTTAGAAACTGAAGCTCCGCCTGACCAGTGGAAATGGCCGATTTGAAAATCCACATAGGACAACATTTAGTGAAATATTGTTTAAAAAATTTGTATTATATTGTTTACAAGACGAGTTTCTAAATATAGAGCAAGAAAAATGACTCGTTTGTTTTCTTTGATTAACATTCGAAGTTTACTCTCGTAACTAACGTGTTGGTCAACAATCTCTGGCTGATTCTCAATATTTCCTAGGTGTTGCATTATTTCATCGGCTGACGTGATCAACGTGCAATACTCCAATAATACTGTTTGGATTGAAGTTTGACCAATTGTTTAATCAATGGTGATAAACTTTAAGAAAATGATTTCTTGTCTTCTCAGCTGCATGATTGTTTCGTTTCATCATTTCGTTCTTGACTTCTGCGACAAAGGCGCGCACAGAAGAAATAAATCGTCGATGGAATTTCGTGGACTTCGGACAAAAATTGACAATTGATTTATCTAAATTGACAACTGATTTATCAAGTCTACATTTATCATGTTTTTGTCCATCTTTACCTTTGGATAACCTGTTTCATCTAACAAACCAATGAGTCAATGCCAATATTTAGCATTGGTTAATTGGTTCAGATTTTTGTTAGACGAATAGTAGTGAAATATGTCTTAAGGATCATATTTGGTCCAACAATATTTATCAAATAAAATTTCCACGGACAAAGAGAGCCCTATTCCAAAATAGTGGTAGGCTCCGTGGATTTGGATCGACCTGCAAGTTGGTTTCCGTAGCGGTGCGAAAAAGCAGTAATCTGATACGGAACACACAACTTTCAATAGCTGAGCAAAACAACATAGTCGCGGTTGCAATAATTCCTCTGAAAATAGCATCCTTAAAGGTATGGATATAGGTGTTTTTTTCACGTCGGTACGGAAAGCTATGCAGAACAGTGTAAACATAGCCTTTATTAAAAAGTCCCCCGTAACAATGCGTGACTGTCGACTCTCATCACCTCTCATCCTCGTTTGACCGAGGTTGGTCCTGCATCACTTCAACATTATTTTCGCAAGGCTAGCTACCTTGTCTCTTTAATTCTTCGTTGATGGAGGTACGTGATATAGAACTCTTTCTAATGGTCCTTTCCAGTAGTTATTGTCTATTATCATGTTCAGTATGGCCACTCCAATATTCCACTTTGACATCATGGGCGTACCGGAAGGAAAAAATTAGGGGGGCGGAAATAAAATTGCCCCACTTTTCCGGATTCTGCCCGACTAGTACCCAAAAATTTTTTCCGGAAAAATTATTTTGGCGACCTCCCCCCTCCCCCCCCCGTCGCCAAAAAAATTTCGGGCAGTGTACCATTTTAGGGGTCAAAAAAATTTTCCGGACAACCAATATTTTTCGGAACATAACACAAATTTTCGAAAAATCACAAAATTTGCCAAAAAATTTACTTAATTTTAGACAAAATTGACAGAATTTGTCCGATTTTTTTTAATTGCAAACCAAAATTGCCCGACTGCCCAAAAAACTGGGGGGGCTACCGCCCCCCCGCCCGGTACGCCTATGTGGTTCAACAACCCACAGGCGGCCCAGACGTGTATTAGTGTATAGTAAATATATCA